GGATTCGGATTTTTCGGATTCGGATCAAATCGGATTTTGCCCAAATCCGATCCGATCCGATCCGTGCGGAACACTAATTATAATTAATGATAAAGTAATTTAATTAGTATGTAAATATAAATTTTTTTTATAATAATTTTTTTGAAATTTAATTTTAAAATTAAATTATTTTAAAAACCTTTTAAAAAACTTAAAATCTTTGTTAATAAAATTAATAAAAAATATATAAAACTATATTTTTTTATATAATAATAACATTTTTAAAGAAATTAATACTTTTTTTTTAATTTAGCAGGTAAATTTACCTGCTAAACAGTCTAAAGAACAATTATTAATTAATACAAAAATATATAAATTTAAAAAATTTATTTTAAAATACTTTAGTTTTTAATTTAACTTTAATTAAACTTTATTAAATTTTTTTATTCTTTATTTTATTATTTAAAAAGTTTTAATTAGAAAGTATAAAAGTATTATTAAAATATTTTTTTTATAATAATTTTAATATAAAAAATCTTTAATAGTAATTTATTTATAAAATAATTTTTTTTATTAATAATTAAAAATTATAATAAAAAATAATAAATAAATAAAACTGATTTAATTTTTAATATTATTGTAATACAATTATATATATAATAAAAGGAAAAAAATAATTATATTTTATATATTTACTCTATAAAAATATCTGAAAAATTTCTAAAAATTATAATTTTTGGAATAAAAATCTATATTTAGAATTTTTAATTATTCAGAATTCTTCTATATTAATTTTTAAACTAAATAAATTCTGGACTTGAAAAATTTTGATCAAAATTAATTAGACTAATTCTGGATTTTTCTAAAAAAGGATACAAAAAATATAATTGTGCTAAGTTTTACATTGGTTTTTTTATTATATTGATCTTTAGTATAAATTTTGAATATATTCTAGTCTTTTATGATTCAATACAAATTTCAAATATATTGAAATTTGTCTATCTGAATCTTTTAAGACAAATTCTAGGCATAAATTTTTTATAGGATTAATGAATAATTCTTTTAGTAAAAAAAATTTATTTATATTATAATTATTATTTTATTATAATTTATTTTACATATATGTATATAATCTCAAGTAAAAGTTTAAACTTTTTTTTTAAAAAAAAACTTTATAATTTATATAAGAAATTTTTAACTTAAAAAATTTAACAATAAATGTACAAAACAATAATTATTTTTGGATGGAAATATAGCTATGTATATAAAATGAATGAATATCGGTTGAATTTTTTTTATTTAATTATAATAGTTGAATTTAATTCCAGCCGAAATTAATATTTGGCCAGAATTAAGATTTTTTAGGATTATCAAAAATTTTGACAGTTCTGATCCAACCTTAGCATGAGTTAATCTTAAACGATTAAATAACTCACTTTAATATGATTCAACCATAGAATATATAGCAGTTAAAACTGCAATTAACTTTAAAATGAACGGATTTACCATCCATATTTTCAAATTATTTTTTTTTTTTAGTTTACGACGGGTTGAAATATATATAGTTTCGACATTTGAAGATTTATTGATTTATTATAGTCTCAACTATTAATGTTTCGATAGTACCGTCGAAACCAAAGGTTTTGCCCGCAACCTCACTTTTATTTATAAATGGGAACGTTGCCAGTATGACCCATAATGCGGTGAAAAGATTCCAAGTCAGAAAACAGGAGCGTTACAAATGGTGTATATGTCACGTGAGGGTGGAAAATCTGGGGCAAGATTGTGATTTTACTGATGATGAAATACGTTAATTTCAAAAACAAAATTAAGAGATAAAAATAAAAATAGGATCAGGAAAAGATATATAGTACAATTAAATGCTAAGCAAGAGACATTGTTTGAAAATAATATTTTATTTTTAATAATTAATATCTTCATCTTAAATGTTCACTTTTTTTATTATTTTAAGTATTTACTACTAATTTTATTAAATTTATATTTCTAGGATAAAATGCCGTTTTGATGAATTGCATCCATGGTTAATTATCTCCAAATACATGGAATCGATCAATTTATATTTTTGCTGCTTCTATTATGAATTTATAAATTTTGTTTCTTCACATCGCGACAGCAGTTATGTGATTTCGTACTTAAAAGAGCAAGTTGACATTTGTTTCGGAAAGAAGCAGAGACCGTTAGCATTTCAAGGCTTATGAGAAATGAACAATGGCCGAAGGGAATGTAAAAGGCTACAAGAAAGCTATACTAAAGCTTGCTAGATTAAATCGTGGATATTATATTATAGCTTGCACGTCTCAAAGAATTGGATGCTGTAAATCATATTCAAATTTTGAATATAAAGAATTATATACAAAGTGTTAGATCCTTGTGTATGTCGAGTGTTAAGAGAAGCTTAAGTTTTGAAAATTCCTTTAATATAAATTTTCATAGTGAACCAAAATCGACTTCGTGATTGATCCAAGTATAGACCATTTCAAATGCTTTGGCCGTAACTCTCATTTGAATATTAGTATTCATAAATTTATTACCGTTATTAACATAACATAAATTAAACGATCACTTCGACTATCTGAAATTGTCTAACGTCTGTGACACCAGAATTTCTCATCTAGATTATTCAACGTACAACAAGCATGTTTTTGGTTTAACTATCCATGCAATAATAATACAAAGTATATGTAGCAATTTCTCAGGGAGTTAAGAAATAATCCGGCCGTTTGAATTTTAATTTTGAAAATAATGGTCTTGCTTAATAAAGTAATGAGCACGTTAACAATCCCTTTATGTATTAAAATTTGACATTTACAAATTCCCAAAACTAAACAAATACTGCTTGTTTGTTTATATTAATTAAATAGATTTTATACAAAAAAAAAGTACGAAATTGTCTGGCACGTGACGTGCACAAGTCCGACTAATATTTAACAGTAATCATACTTTTTTTTTTTTACGCAGCCCGACCCAAATATTTTTTTAATAAATATTTTTCAAAATGCAGAAGGAAAAAAAAATAAATAAATTAAATGTCAAAACATCACGAAATCACAAATATACAGAGCAATTGAGAAATCACAAATCACATCCGTGATCTTTGAATAAAACACTTTTTTATCATATATGTAAAGATAAAAGAAAAGGTCGCACCCTTAAATTTTATCGGAGCTAGCCTATATTTTCGGCATTTTACGGTTGCTCTTCAATCAAAAGATTTTGAAAATGTTTAAATTAAAAAAAAAAATTGATTGACGAGATTTTTAATTAGAAATTTCGGTTTGTGTTTCAAATAAAACGTTTCTTTAAAGAACGCTCAATTTTTAATTTAGGAAGAAACACGTTTATGCTGCATGAAAAAAAAAGAGATCTTTACATTATAAAAATATTTTCATACGAAAGGAATATATTTATGTGTTGCTGAAGTAAGCATTGTTTTTGTGAATGTCGCTATCATGAGAAAATAAGATAGCTTGCTCATTTTCTGATGATTGCTTCTTTATTGGGCTTTATTGAATGTTAGGTAGGGACTTGACCACTTTTTTTTTTTTTTTAGAGGACTTAAGCTCTCGTAGAATCACTCCCCAAAAATGATATCACATCAGTTTTTGCGATCTTGAACAAACTCGGATTATTTATGATTACCATGCATTAACAAAAGATTTAACGAAAATAATAAAAAAAAAAAAAAAGATGATCCAGAGGAGAAATCATGGTAATATTAAATCGATATAAAATAAAATGTAATGATTTGCTATAATCTTTAAATCGTTATTGAAGCAATGAATGTTTCATAACTGATTGATTAGTCAAAATTCCGAGAAAAATTGTCAATTTGGTTTATTTTCCGCGTATTTCTAATTATCTTGCAGCAAAACATTTCAATGAGTAGAAAACTGGCGTGCATTTATTTGTTAATCACGTGTTTATCGAACACACCATTTTTTTTTTAAAAAAAAGCGGTTTAAAAGGCGTTTGACAAAAAAAAGGCGAACCATAAATAGATTAACATTATGCTTTAAAGTTGATAAAGTGAGCATTCTGCATTTGCTGCGCTACGAAAAATTGATTCGCAACATTTAACATATATTATTGGAACTTTTTTTCGGCAATTTCCGACGATTTATTTAAAAATTGTTAACGAATCTGATTAATTGGTTGGTATAATTTACGTGAAATAATGTTAAGTTTGAAATTATTATTATGATTTAAATATTTTGGCAAAAATATTTAGGTATACAAATTATTTTAAAAAGAAAGTCTATATAATACCTAATTAACGAAAAAAAAATTTTTTATACATCTAAATACTTAATGACCTACATTGATAGATTTTTGGATGCAATGCAAATCCTAACCAATCTAACAGACCAATAATGATCGCTCGAACTTTTTTAAAAATAAAAAATTTTTTTTTTTTTTAATAAAGGAAAAAAAAATGTCTGAAATTCCATGTGGCAAAATTTTGATGTATTATGATAACATCTCCAACTTTACAACCAGGATTGCTTACTGTACTGTATTGAGTATTGCATGCCAAGATTACTATATTAACAAAGTCCATTGTTTAAATCTTATAAGTTTTATAAGTTACGTGTAAGTTCGTATTTTGTTATTATTATTTTTTTTTTAAGAAAAATCTAAATAATAGACCGCCGAAATAAACTGTAATGTCCGATGTTATCATCGTATTTTTTTCGGTTTCAATGTAAATGAAAAAATCCTTAAACAAAGTAAGCCAGCCCTCCGCCAAAACAAATTTATAAATTTAGTGTTTTTAAAAGAATTTTTTTTTAATCAAAAAAAAAAGAGAAAATTTCTAGTCGAGGAAAAAAAAAAAGTAAACAATAAAGCAAAATACATGAGCAAAAAGTCAAAAAAAAAATTTTTTTTTTTCAGCCCAATTTTCTATAAGAATCTAGAAAATATATTTTTATAGTATATCACCATAATTGTCAATGAGAAAAAAGATCTTCAATTTTTTTTGGTTTCAAACTTTAAAATGAATAATCTACCATATACATTTTAATTATTTTTTTTTTTTTTTAAAAAAAAAAAAAATTTTTCAGCCCCAGCCTAACGCTAATAAATAAAATGTTCCAATAATAATGAAACCTAACAATGAAAAATGATATTCATATAACATTTACTTTAAAAAATTTATTGTATCTGAAAACTTAATCCATTTATTTATTTATTTTAATACCTAGTTAAATCTAAATTTAAATATATACTCAATATAAAAAGATTTTATTTAAAATTGAAAATCCATCTATTTCTGTTCGCAAATAATATTATTAAAGAAAGAAAAAAAAATTACAAAATGTTTTAAACAATGACTATGAATTAGCCTCATTGTTCTTTATTATCCCTTTTATATGCATAAGTCACGAAACAAACGAGTGTTATCACTTTTATTTTTTAAAAAAAAAGAAAAAAATTCTTTTAAAATATGAAATTATTATGTTAATAAAAAAAATAAATTTATCTTAAATCTTAAATCTTGATTCGTAATATAGCATAATCTTTATGTTTCAATGACGAGTTACTACCAATTTCTTTTTGCAGCTTTATTTTTTCAGCGATTCAATACACCGAATTCCAAGTTAGGACCAATTCAATTGCCCGAAATGTAAATTGATACGTGAGAGATCATTATGGCCTGTTTATCAAAAGAACGTTATGCCATGTACATTCATCAAGCATTTGAAAAGACGGTTTTCTGCTCTTTAGATGCATACACGCATAACAATGTATATATATGTCCAATAGTTTCCAATGATTAAGGAATATTATGGAGCTTACCCCGGCCTAATATTTCTTAAATAAGGTGATTCCACTCACTCCAATCACTATTTTAAATCACCTTTATACTACATACTATAATATGTCTATAAGTCTATTAACAATGAATTTCTTTGTCTATATCAAAAGAAAATACGCTAGTAAAGAATTAGATCTTTTGTAAACTATATTTGTTTAAATTTGAAATGTAAGAACTTATTGCATAAACGATAACGGGCGCGTGTCAATTCGCGTTACATGTATTTCCTTTTTATTTTTAGTCATAAATCTTAGCACAACATGTACGAAAATAAATGTCCTTATTATCACGTAATTGAGCACATAAACACTTATTTTCCCGCACTTTACAACATCAAAATCATTAAAGGAGCATTAAATTTACTTAAAAGTATTTCAAGGTTTGAACAATTTTATTGTTTGATCTCATTCTTATCGTGCTCTTGTTTATTAAATTAGGAAATATTAAATCTCCCTTTATGCACAAGTTTTGGAATTTTCTTGCCTCTCGTAATCAATATAACGTTAATTAATTGTAAGGAGATGTAACGACTCTTGCATTTTTTTTTCGGATTTGCATACATCAAATTAATTTTGTAAAAAAAAAAAAAAATAATGGTCATCATTATAATCAGTTAATATTTTACACTATTGAACTTTTATTTAATAATTCTAGGTTTGGCTTTATAGAAGAAAATCTTGTAGATTTATAGGTTAATATTTTAAAATCTTCACAAGTTAATACGTTTAGATGAAAAATACAAGTTTAACGCGAGAATGATAGTCCAAAGGCGAACAAGTTTTGCACGAGAGAAGAAATCGAGGGAAACTCTATGAAATCATGAATGGTCTTATTAAAAGTAGGCGGTAATTATTGAATGATGTAATATTATGTAAGGTGTTTGAAGGAATCTTTTGTTTCATGCTGAGCATATGACAATTAGGATTAATTTAGTTCTTCCTTTTTTGTTACACGTAATATTGATATACAACATATGTGATTGCGCAAAATTATTAGTCACGTGCTGATTCATTGTAATAAATTTTTAGGAGTGAATGGTTTTTCATTAAGAGAATCAGGTAAACAGAAAAATTATTGCAATAAATTCTTGAACGTAAATATTATTTTCCAACTTCGTGCATGCGATTATTAATATTTTTTCCCCCTAATCGGATAAATAATTATCCATGTAGCGTTCTGATCCTTTACAAGTAAGTATAGCAAGCACGATGGCGTTGGACTCCCACATAAAAATCGGATGAATGAAATTTATTTAAATTTTTTTTTTTCATTTTTGACCAAAAACCGAATAATTTCATTCGTATTGAAGACGTTGCCCTAGGCAAGCGGTTGATGCAAGAAATAATATCGCCGACTTTAAAGGGAACCTATCAAAAAAAAATCGACACATGTGCATGAAATTTTCGTTACATAAGATACATAAGATAATTTACTTTTGTAAAAGAATAAGAATTTTAACGATATTCTAATATTCATGTACTTAAAAATATTTAAATATTAATAACAAAAAAAGGAATAACGTTATTGATTATAATCTTTTATAAATATGATCAAATCATTCTGTTCCACGGTTCTAATAAATATATTAATTTTCAATGATAAAGCCGTTATTAAGAAAAATTCAAGATATAATAACAATATATATATTTTTTTATTTTTTTAAAAAAAAACCGTGTTTACATGTATCTACATATTACAAGAAATCCACTCACAATATAGTGAGTACGTAACAAAACGATTTATTCTTTATGAACCCAATTATATTTCTATTTACTTCATAATGTCTAAAAAACCTTTTTCGAAATGTACTCGACCTGAACGCTGCAACTTCGGTCTCTTCAACGACATAGCTTTAAACAACAAAACAAATGAACTTCTTAACGATATACGACGAGTACATTATGACACTGGAATATATCAAACAAGACATAAACCATATAGACAAATATGAATATAATCGTTTATTTAATTTAACGGCATTAGTCCTCTTTGAGGACTATAATGACTATGCCGAAAAATATAAAAATAAAATTTAATTTTTATATAATTAATTGAGTAGCGAGGGCTTAATTTATAAGTAAGATAGAAGTTTATTACATTTCGATTTCTAAATCAATACATTTTAAACATTTTATCATTATCAATTATTAGATATTTGAACAATGTTAAATTTTTATTAATTAAAAAATAATTTCTCATTACTTCGATTGCTAAATAGATTAGAATAATTTTTTATTATTTAAGTTATAATCTAAAACAAATCATATTTTCGTTAATTAAAACGGAAAAGTTTATTAAATTATATAAATTTATACTAAGACCATTTATTAAAATCTTTTTATATTATATAATAATATTTTTATTAAAGGTTTGCTACTAAAATCTTGTTCGGGTCGTATGATTTACTTTATGTCTCGTAACTTGATTTTAAAGTAAAAAAAAAAAGAAATAATAAAATGTCCATAAATAGCTTTAATAATCAAAAAATAACAATTTTTTAATAAAATATTATATAAAAAATTTAAATAATTATTAGATTAATATTTATCATAGAAACGTTTCTATCGTATGAACGTTATAAATCAAAATCAAAATATAAAATAAATTACAATTTTATTTTATTACAATAATTTAATAATTTTAATTTTATTAAAAATTAAATAAAATTTTATAAATATTATTTTAAAATATATAACTTTTATTAATTTTATTGTTATTATTCACATTTATTTTTATATTGATGAATTTTTTAAAAAAACATTCTTTTATAATATTATTTTATTATACTAATAAATTATAAATATATTAATAAACGTTATATTATTTAATAAAATTCATAATTTAAATCACTGTATATATAATAAAATCATAATAAATTTTTATATAAAATTGCATCTATTTTAATAATAATTAGTACATTCTATATTATGTAATATGTATTATTAAAATATTATATATATTATTTGTTAACTCTAATATATAATATAAATTAATTTTATATAATAAATTTTCAGTTATTATTAAAGTTCAAATAAAAATAATAATGCTTATTAGTATATATTTAATTTTTTATATTAATTTTATAATTTTTTAATAATTATATTTTTACAAAATTTTATTAAAAAGTTTATAATACATTAAAATTACATATGGATACTATATTTATGATATAAGAATATTATTAGTAAAATCACATATATAATATAATAATGCTATTTAAAATTCCAAAACTTAATAAAAGTAATTTGAAAAAAAGTCAAATTATATAAAATTCAAAAACTGAAATTGGTTAAAACTAGTTTATGATATTTTAGAATAATAAAAATAGTTTTATAAATATCATTATATATATAAATAAAGATAATTTTGTAACTATTCGATTACAATTTAGATTGCAACAAAACTTAAATATAAGAATTATAATATAAATATTTAGTTAATTATAATTTAAGAAATTGTAACTTAATTATAAATTGTTTTAATTAGTTAAAGTATTAACTTTAATTATTTTATATTTAATTTATTAATAATATTTTATTTAATTATTAAAATAATATTTTATTATAATAATTAATTTTATAATTTAAAAATAAATATATATATATATATTATTTTTAAGTGATATAATTAAATTTTATATGTTTAAATTATAAATTATATAGAATTTATTAAATATAATGGGTTTACTAAAAATATATCAAATTTAATCCTAATTCAAAAAGTTAAAAAAACTAAAATATAATAAATATAATAAATGATTTTTTTATAATAATTTATAAATATTATATTAAAATATATAAATTTTATAATATATTTTATATGATTATATAAATTCTTTTTTTACATTTTTTAAATAATCAGATATCATTTATTTAAATTTAAATTATTTATTAAATATCATATCTAAGTTGATTTAATTCTATTTTATTTTAATCATATATTAATAATTTTATAAAATAAATTTAAAAATAATAAAAGTGATAATCTGTTATTGTATTACAATTAATAACCAATAATATGATAATAGTTATTTTGTTTATCATTGTATTACAACCAATAAACCAATAAATTGATAGTCTTTATTTGATTATTATTGTATTACAAGTAATAATATAAAATCTTTTACATAAAACTTTTAATATTAAATTATTTTATAATAATTAAAAGTTTTAATCTAATCTATAATTTTGATTTTTTTTTATATAATTCAAAACTTATTTAAATAAAGTATAATTATATTAAAAAACTTTAAATAATCATTTGGAATTTTACAAATATTTTTAATAATTATTAAATCTAATAAGATCTAATAAAAAGTTTTAAAAGATTTTAAGAATTCAATACAGATTACAATTAAATAATAAGAATAAATAAAATATATTAAATCAAATAAAAATTATATATATTAATTTAAATTATTTAACATTTTTTTTAACTTGGTTTAAATTATAATTATTTTTAAAAAACTTCAATTAAAAATTATTTGATATATTATAATAATATTATTAATTTTTTTTAAACAGATATCATATATTTTCGATTATTCTAAAATTAAGCAAATACTATAATAAAAAATAAACCTATTGAATCAATTCATTCTTTTTTATGACTTTAAATATTAAATATAAATGTGATATCTTTAATTTCAATTATAAACTTTAATAACCAGATTCAAACCCGGTATAAATTGTGCTAATGTTTGTGTAACAAATGACAAAGTTTGCACCCCCTTTTTTAAGAAAAAATTATATCTAAATATTTGGAACCTCCAACGACGACTTCAGGCTCAACATTCGAACTTTGTGAATCGATCATGTGTAATATGTATAGATAAATACAAAAGTACTGAATCTTAAAATATGTAAGTAAGATACGTAATATTCTGCACATCTAATTTTCGAACTTGTATGACAAGCGTTTCATAATATTTCTAAAAAAAAAAAATAATTTAACCGATGGGAACTTAAAGTTCGTCTGCAATATTTAAATACTTTCTGCATTTTTTTTTTTTTTCGCTCAAATAATGAACTATATAAATTATGTCAAATTAAAAAAAAATAAAATTTCTCAATGCATTTAAATTATATGAAATGATATTTACAAAATAAATTTATTATTTTTTTTTTTTTTTTTTTTTTAAGAAATACTTTTTTTTGAAAATTAAGTACAATAAACCAATAAACCTATAAGCCACCAATATTACAAAAAAATTTTAAAAAAAAGACAAGCCAATATATGGAAAAATTTACAAGCAAGCAGATATCAAAAACTAAATGTTAAATAAGAATTGAGTTGATGGCGTAACAAACTACCAAAATTTTCAAAATTTTCTTTTTTTTAAAAATATTAAATGAAAAAAGATAATGCCAAAGTTACGCTTATAGATAAATTTATTTTTTTTATTCCTTGAATTCAATTATTTTCACAATTAGTTAACCATCCAACCATCCAAAAGTATTTACATCCACCCGTTTTTTTTGTTGTTTGGGAGACATTTCCACTTTATGAAGCTTTTCTTCATTTTTCTTTAAACGCTTTAGTGCTTTACTTGTATTTCCACGTTTTTTGGATTCTTAATTTTTTTACAACCAGTTTATAACTTTAATAATTGAAAGGAATAAAATTTGCGTCGATTCCTTGTTGATTGTATCGCAATGTTGAAGGGGGATTAATCATTTGTTGAATATTCCATTGTAATAATTGATTATTTTGCCAACAACAGTAGCATCTCATACAATGGGTAGTTTGCGTCGTTGGAAGACTTGGAGATGGTAATGAAGAAGTCGCTGATGAAGGTGATGCATATCCACTATCGTTATAATATCTACGAGTTGGTAGTATTGGTTGAGGAGCATAAATCGTTGGCAAAGTGTTTTGAAATTTTGGAGTGGTTGGAGAACTTGCCAAGGAACTCGTTGTGGAATAGGCTGAACTTTGAGATAAGACAGGACTGATAGAAAGATCCCTTCGAGAGTATTCATAAGGAGGATTAACATAAGAATGATAAATTGGTTCAGACATTGAGAGATGAGTACTATCGATTGGAGTACGCCAGATGAATGGTCTTTCGGTTTTCAAAGCCATTAGATGAGTTCTGCGATGATGACGGGTCAAATTTGTTTTACGACAAAAGCTATTTTAACGAGAGAAAAGTAATGCATGTTAATACCGGCAGGTAACACGTGATCCACATTGATAATGATACGGACCTTTTGCCACAATTTTCAAAGCCACATTTATAAGGGCGCTTTCCAGTGTGAATACGTCGATGCCTGGCCAAGGAGGAGCTATCACTAAAAGATTTATTGCAATCCGGATGTTCACAAATATGAGGACGTTCTCCTGAATGAGTTCTCATGTGAACAGTCAGAGCTGACCGCTTTTTTTTAAAAAAAAAAGATCAGCACAAAAATGTTAGTACATACGCGGTATGATTTTCCAAAAATAACAAAAATATTCGGAAAAATAATTGATTCTAAATCACAACGATATATAATAATACAAACCTGAATAAAGGATTTTCCGCAACCTGGTTCGTTGCAAGAAAAAGGCCTAACCAAAAATGACAATAAATATAGTAAATAAACATGTGAAAGGATATGCACAAGGTTATTAGGGGACATCTCAAACAACGCACATACAAAAAAAATGTTCTCATATTCATTTTAAATTAGTTATGTGCGCACAAACAATAAACAATGAAAAGCATTTTTTTTTAAAAAAGAAAATAAAAACAAAAATATACAAATGAAACAAAGAACATTTAAATGTTTACTACACTATCTAACTAAATTTGGTTAAGGCGAATAAGTTTATAATCCAAATTAAGAAATTCGTTATTATTTTTTACCTTTCATTTGTGTGGATTCTTCCATGTCGTGAGAGGTCCGATCTTCTTGAGAATGCCTTGGTACATCCTTCCCAAGTACATCGGAAAGGGCGGCTTTCGCTATATTGAGATTCCATGTGAATAAGCTCCAAAATATCCATTATTGAGAAGAAAGAATAAAAAAGTTGTAGTAAAAAAAAGCTCCTTGTATTAAAAAGTTGGCGTTTATAATGTACAAAATAAGTGTGTGCAGATAATACGTAGACGTCTGTGCGTTAAAGGTTTGCCTTTTAAGCAATTTTCAAAGCCTTAACAGAATTTTTTTGAAAATAAAAATGGATTAAATCCTTTGCGTAGTACGAATGATGTAAAATTATTTTATGATAAATGGTCTTGAAACAAAATCACGAAAGTCGTAATTATGTAGACATAAACAATATGAAAAAAAGTTTTTTTTTTTTTTGTTTGTAAGAAAGAAGGTTAGAGGGAAGTGTTATTTATAAAAAAAATTCATATACCTGCGCCATTTTTTTTTTCGCGAAAACAGGGTTCAAAAAGATGTGATACATTGTATTTGTGTTTTTGTGATCGAAATAATCGAGTGATAAATAAATTTATATTACTTACAATAAAAAAAAAAAAGCTTAAAACGTAATTAAATATAAATATTAAATATAATGGGAAATAAAAGTGCTACAAAACACAACAAAATCACTTTGATTTAAATCAACTCGTCGTTATGTGCTTGAATAAAATTAACAACAATATTATTTTTTTTAAGCAAGGGTATTTATTATCATTATATATGGATCAAGATCATAAAAGTCAGGTTTATAATGGATTTATTATAATAAAATGCCTTTTTTTATAGTTATTGAAATAAATAAATATCTGACTCTGATAATTTTTTTTTTATTTTTTTTAATTAAATACTGTAAATAAATAAGTATATATAATATATATATATTACTGATGATCGAATCTCTAAAGAAAGTGATACCTTCAGAGAAAAATTCCTCAATTAATATTAATTTGTAAAGAAATAAATTGAAAAGTTATTTCTGAATAAACTAAAAATGAGAAAAGGATGTAAAAGGGCAAGTTTCATAATATTCTAAAATTGATTTTTCATCGAAACTAAAATAAGATATGAAACTCATGCGTGTGACTTTTTTTTTTTGACAGAGTTATCACCTCATTTTTTGTCCGATAAATAAGATAAATTGCGATGACGAAATAGATGATCAACTATTAATAAGGTAATTGTTTACTAATTGTTATAAATAAACAAAAAAGTTATAAAATCGGGGGGGGGGGGGTCGGTAAGAAAATTAGTATTTGATTATTCTTATAAAATTGCATTTTTATAATATGCTAATAATTATGCAATATATATTAACATTTCTTTGCTTAATTTTTTTTTTTTTTATTTTTATTTTTTTAAAAAAATTAAAAATAAATTTAAAATTAACTTGATGGATTTCATAGGTGTGCGAAATATTTTTTTACTAGTTAAAAAGAAATTGATTTAAGTAAATTCAGGTGAGAAGTGCAGACAATCAATCAATATATGGAAATCGATATAGGATCTACCTTAAAGATTTGCACTATTAAAGTAAATTAAATACATACATATATGAGAACGTCACGTCACACTTATCACCTAAATTCAAAAACAATATGATTGTTAGCATTATGATTCAGTCACCGCATATTATTTCCTATCAAATCCCAGGAATTTGGTAACCATAACGTTTACAGAAAACATTTTAGAGAAATTTTATGTAAAGTTAATCTTTAGTTATTAATAGGAGGAGAATTTTTGTAAAAAAACAGAGATTATTTTTATTTTATTTATTACCAGTACTTTAAAATTCCTTTTTGCATATTGGGTCCATTCTAGGTCAAAAATCCATTACATAATCTTGTAATAATGATATGATTTTCCCAGAAAAAATTTTCAAATCCAAAAATTGACCTATTCAATTACTTATAAGAGAAATAAAAAAAATCAATTCAAGAGTTCAGAAAATTATTTCGTTCAGAATGAATGAACATAAACTAAGGGAAAAAGAATGGACATGATCCGATAAATTTCCTTTCTCTGCTTTCCCTTACAGTTGGAAATGATGTTTCATAACTTTTCCGGGGTAGATGTTTGCTTTATTGACCTATTCTCGATAAAAAAAAAATTTTTAATTAACCATTTTGATTGAGTTTACTTTGTATATGAAAGTTTTTTGTTGTTCTTATAGTTGCTGCTGCTGTTGGAGTTATTTAATCCTTTCTAAGAATGAACAAAAGAAACAATGAAAAAATTTTCACAATTGTTTTTTACCTCAAAAGTAATAGCAATATTTGTTAGTTAATGGTCATCGTTCAAAATATTTCTATATTAACTTCTATAATAGCATTAAACAAAAAGTGTTTACGTTCTAGTTTATTATTCGACCTCGTAATAGAGTTAAAGTTCAAAGCATCACGTAGATCAATAAATACAAACGATTATTAAGGGGAGAGTGTCTTGATAAGTGTTTGAAGGCTTTTTTTTAAAAAAAATTGGCTAGGGGAATATTTTTGTTGGCTGAAAATAAGATTCATTGACGAATTACTTACTTGTGGTGGTATAAACAATGCCCGAATTTCCGATTTTAATTACTGATTTCTTGATTTATTCCATTGTGTTTCGATTTATGTTATAAGGGATAAGATATAATTTGATAACGGAAATACGGAATTTCATTGAGATGATTCAAAAAAAAATATGTGATTAAAGTAATCTTCAATAAATATGTAAAAAAGATTTGTTTATTTATAGTGTAACATTGTTTTTATAAGAATGTGTTAACTGCATTTCTATAGGAAATAAAAAAGAATATATATATATTTTTTTTGGTAGTAATTTGAAACATGTAAGTGTAAAATGGTATCATTGTATAAAACCACATGGATGTCATTCGTGATCAAATATATTTCTCACGGATTCGGAATTTTATTGTTATCAATAAGAATAATTATAGCTTTTTTTTTTAAAAAAAAAAATGCAAAAGGCATTGTTATCAAAATGTTAATTATAAATTAATTTTACCCAATATTTCTTTATTAACAAAAATTATATATATATATATATATATATTTTAAAATGATTCTATTTTTTTCCTTATTCAATGCAGATGTAAATCTTCTGATAAAACGACCATTGTTTCATAAGCTTGAAGTCTCTTCTTTATTTGTGCTTATACAAATGTAATGAAAATTAGGTGCTTTTCAAAAGACTTCTTAAAAAGAATAATGATAATGATAATGACAATGATTATAATGAATATAATGTATAGAAACGAAAAAAAAAAAAATAATAAATTATCTAATTAAATGCAATGTCGCCGATCATTTTAATTTTCACTGAAATAGATTTTATTGACAATTGACAAATTTTTTTTTTTCGCGTTTCTTAAAAATTATTTATAATCTTTGAAAAATTGATCATTGTTTAGTACCCGAGTCATTCTCACTTCAAATAAAGTAAATTTCTCTTTAAAAAAAAAAAAAAAAAAAAAAAAAAAAAAAATTTTTTCTCGCGATTATCGTTTCATCGTTATTTCAAGGGAACCAATTACATATAATAAATAAAAAGCCCCGTACGCCAAATCTCATAACCTTCCCATTTCCTTTATGCATGTGCACATTCTTTTCAATTTTTTAAAAATGATTATCAAGATATAAATTAAAAATATCATTATTTCCTCCGCGCAGAAAGATTAACCGTACTTTATTAATGTACGTATGCATTTTTTTTTTTTTTTTAAGCCAAAAAGAAAATCATTAACTAAACTTACTAATCAGAAGATTTATAATGATTCTGACACAATTGACACATGAATGTTGACAATTTGAACAATGAGAAAAATCAGTTTCTTTGTTTTTTATTTAGTATTCTATTCAAAGATACACACAGACGTATCAAACGTCAGGTTTCCTAAGTAAGACTAAGCAAAAATTGAAATCATTCATAACGAGATCTTTTTCTTTTAAATTGAATTATGAATATTAAGAAAAGTTTTTTCCGACATGAAAATGTTATTTGTCGAATAAAAACACGTTTAGCTTCAAATTAATTATTGGAATTTTCTTATTTAACATAAAAAATATAAAAATATATGATTACAAAAGATCACGCTAACCGAATTTGCAATTTATAATAATAGGAGGAAACATTTAAAGCAGATTTTTTTATTTTTATACAATGTGTTAGAACACATGGTAATCCTAAGAAAATAAATTATTCCTTGCATAAAATGATAGGAGTTTCGAACAGGTTTAAGAACGCGTGTACAAAAATATTTTCGACTAATGCGTATGCACATATGATATGCCTTTTTTGTAAACAAAAAAAAAATTTTTTTTAAAAATTTAGGGATCAAAAGTTAGGGTTATTAGAAATCGTGATATTAAATATTTAAATTTTTCACACAAAATTCGTTCAAGCATTTAGGTGATTTGGCAAAAAAGAGACGATGATTTAAGTGATGTCATCATAAAATATATTCAATATATTCTTTAAACTAAAATTGAAACTTTATACTAGGTTACGATATTTAAAATGGAAGTTATCTTTTTTCATAGGCTTTTTATAGATAAACCTTTCATTAAAATAAGGTGACACCAAGTTTTTGGATAAAATGATATTTTGGATAAGTTTTATCAAATTTTGTCAATAAAAACCGTAGTTACGATCGACGATATTAACTGCGCATCATTTGAAAGTTGCATTCAATAGATTCAAGAAAGTCAATAAAATGATTTTATATAGATTAATATTTTATATGTATTCCTTTGTTTCTAAAAGGTGTGAAAAACTGAAACTGAAAAATTGTTGCCCTTCGTTTTATTTTAAAGTAGATTTTTCATTCTTTTTTATACGGAAATGATATTTTGGCGTGAGATCTGAAAAAGATGCTAAAATTAAATTTAAAAATTTAGTTAAGTAGATTATTGCATAAAAAAATTATGCGAAAAAAAATAATTTATGCATCATTACTTCATTATTTTGGATGCAACGTCAATTTTTCAAATATCATGATTTTTCTGAAAAAATTATCTAAATCGGTTAAAGGTCGTTATGGTGAGCCTTCCATTCCGTATGTACAGTATTTCTTCTAAC